ATTAACCTCAGAAACATAGCAGAATTGTCACAGTTAACTCTTTGAACATATATATATATATATATATATATATATATATATATATATATATATATATATATATATATATATATATATATATAGACAAAGAAATTGCCAGGATATAGATTAAGTGGCACATTCTTCGCGCATGCACATATATGTTTAATTGTGCAGCAACACAACTTTTTGTGTACAACTAATATCGATAAACTTTTTTTCAACAAGCATATTGTGACAAACAGAAAGTCGAACATATGTAAAAGTTCGTCATAGCACTCTTCTCCAGGTTTAATAATTTTTAGAGCTCTTCCCTGGACCGACTCAATTTTGTGTGAGAGATACTCCGGTATAGCTTGCCAAACTGGTACCGCATATTCTAGTACTGGTCTTATAATCGCAGAATAGACCTTCAATAACTTGTTTGTTTCAACACCGAATTTACGTAGCATACGCAGAGTGTTTAATCTTTTACATGCTTTTCCATATATATAGGCAACACGGTCTTTCCATTTTAGATCATCTGTTAAAATAACTCCAAGAAGTTTGTATTTCTTTACCGTTTCGATAGTGGTATGCCTACTTATGGTTATTGCATGGTCTTAATACCGTAGTATTGCACTCTAAAGGATCTAATACAAGATCCTTGCATTCCTTATAGGGTTAAGTTTCATACGATTGCTTTCAGCAAAATCATTAACGTTATCCGCTACTCTATATTAGTCAGGCTCATCGAGTTTCTTGGGATTATTTCTAGAGCTGTAGTATCATCCACAAATTTTGTTCTTAGTCTCCATTCGGTAAGGAGCTCGTTTGTCATCACAGAGAGCAATATTACACCCAATTTTGTTCCCTGCGGAATTCCGCCATTCGGACGTGTCCAATCGGACAGTACTCCGGAAATTCGAACTGCTTTCATTCTGTAAAGAACAGAATGTATATTAAGTTTTTGAAGGTTCGCTATAAGTATATTGTGGTCTGTGCGATCAAATCCTTTTGAGAAGTCGGTAAAGAAAATCCGGACTATATTGTCTCCTTTGTCAATTGCTTCATAAATAGGTTGAAGAAACCTTAATAGTGCATCCGTTGTTGATAGACATTTACGTGCAAACTGGTATTTAGCCTATCAATCTTTCCCTCTAACTGTGGTTGGAAACGTCTACAAAACAGACCTTCCATCACTTTCGCCAGAGTGCACGTAAGTGATACCGGGCGCAGATCTTTTTCGATTAGGGAACATAGCCTTCAATCAAGGACTGATTTTATAAATGTCTTGTATAACTGTTGCTAATTCCGGAGCAAACTCCTTTAGCACCTTGTTTGGTAAGGTGCCTTAACCTACTGACTTGGAAAGTTTGATACCCTTTAATGAATATTGAACCTCTTGTACAGCAGCCAAAAGTTCCACAGGGACTTGTATTTTTTCGTTTTACTGTGGTAGTGGTGAAAAGTTCTCCGTAACACTCAGGAAAATAATTTTAATATCGTTGATTTTGTTTGCTGGTACTTTCACATCTACGTTATCCTCTAGAAATTGATGATACCACTTTTGTTTAATGTCCTGTCCAGTGGGAGATTTAATTAAGCCTTTTCCACCATTTGCTACTATTACACTGGTCTAGGTTTGTTGGTTTATCTTGTGTCAGTGCCGTAGCCATATAACGATAATTGGGGGGGGGCACATATTCATATATTCTTGTTCTGCTTTATTAATTTCTTTTGAAATCAATTGTTTTTATGGTATGTAAACACGAATATATGAATATGTGCCCCCCCCCAATTATCTTTCTGGCTACGGCACTGTCTTGTGTTCATAATAAACAGCTTTAGCAGTTTTGATTTTTTGCTGGATTTTGTTCCTCTATTTCTTGTACGGCCTATAATTTTTCCAATATTTGATAAATGCATTTTGTCTTTTTCTAATCATGAATTTGAGTTCTTTCGTCATCCAAGAAATCAGAATGACCGAATGGTTGTAACTGTTTTCTCTGCAAAGTAAATATCTATTGCTTCTTTTAACTCAGAAAGGAAGAGTTGAAACTTGTTTTCCCAGGAGGTTTTTTCTATTACAGGGGTACAGTCTTTGCACATTTTAAATTAAATTCTCAGTTTAGACAGAAATTATTTATGATTAATTTATAATACTACAGCTGTATTCACCTATTGATGGGTTCAACACTTATATTCAAAACAAACACTGGCGTCGCCAGGGGGTGGGGGAGGTGGCGAGTATAGTTTTATTTTCGTTCAAATCCGATGATAACTTTGGGGCGGGGTGCGCATCTACGCCTAGAATCTGCTGAACTTTATTCTAATTTGAAACTCTATGTGACTATGTCTCCCACTGAACAATTTTGTCAAGTATTCTGAAATCAATATTTGCCACTGTGAAAAAGGGATTTATTCATATTTTTATGTTTTCAGTCATCTGTCCGCAGATTCGTATAAATAAACACGAAAATTAGCTATACCTGGAAGATATAAGGCATTCAGGTAATTGGTGAACACCATAGCTAGCCTTCGTGTTTAGCCGTTGTACTTAACTATATAATTATATGGCTCTGCGAAGGAAAGTGTTTTCAGTTCAAGTGCCTCCACAATGAAAGATATATACCTGAGTTGTCACAGTTAAGTCTTTGCGAGAACATAGTAGAAACAAAACAATTGCCAGGATATAGATTACTGTAAGTAGTATACATCCATATATCGTTCACAAATATGTTAATAAAGCGTAAGGCTACCATCACCAATGACGAAAGTGATTGGGAAAATTTCAAAACAAAAAAACCTAGTAAATTAAAAGATCAGAAATAATAAGCAACAATACTATATAATTCATGTTTTTCAAATAATATTGGTTGTACCAAGGAAACATGGAAAGGTATCAAACAGCCTTCTATCTAAGGCAATAATTCAATTAATATTCTAAAATTGTAGTAAATGGAAACGAAATTTCTGATCCTGAGGCGATAAACAATGCTTTCAACAAATACTTTACAGAAATAGGGCCGAATTTAGCACCTCAAGTCCCTACAAATACATGGGGTATAGTATTATCATTCACCACAATTCAAATTCTACAGTTACTGTACTGCATTACATGTATTGGGGTACATGAAATCGACGAATTTGTCTTCTCAGTGTCACTGAAGAGCAATATAGGGGTCGTCTCTTTGGAGTATATTTGCTTTGAAAAACTTAACTAGAATTTCGTCCTAAAATGCCATTTCATGCCTTGTTCCACGAGCAAATTTTTTCAGTCATGGTTTAGGTTTCTGGCGATGTTGAAATTTCAGTCCCCAAATTCTGGCCTACCGAGTCAACTGTCTCGGTTGACTCGTAGCTAGTTACGGGCCATAACATCGTTTTCTCACTTTGATACAGATGTTTTCTCACTTTGGTACATTAAATACAGAATGGCCTTTCTTTGCACAGAACTTCCATGCATACTGCAATATGCATTATCTTTCTCATAATTAGAAACCTTTAGTTTTGCATTTACAGCTAGCGCCAAACCGCTAACGATGATTGTGATTTAACTACGCTCTTGTACAAAATAATATTAATTTTGTTACATTATAAACATCCTACGATAAGCTCGTGACATTTAGCAATAATGATTATCAGAAAATTAGTTAGCCACTACTAAATGCCCTGTCACACTATTGCGTTTGAGAGAAACGTATGAGAAGCGTATGAAAATTAACGAAATAATTTTCATACGCACAAAAATCCTTTGAGATGCCAGCGTATATGAGTACCGTACACCTGGCGTACCTCTAGCGTATTTAGCGTGTGCCTAGAGTATGCTTATCGTATAAAGCATTTATCGTAGAAAAAAATTTCTGTCCCGCCGTATGCCAGCGTATGCCACCGTACGCGACCGTGCTTGAAACGTGTACAACCTATGCCTAACGTACCCCTAGCGTATGTCAGCGTATACCGGCGTATGAGTGATATTTTTCATACGCTGGCATACGCTAGTACGATACGCAATAGTGTGACAGGGCCATTAGCCAAAACAGTAAATTCAGCTTTTAAGTTTGAGGTTAACATTTGCGGTATAGATTTTACACATGGATCCTGATACGTGTTATTTCTATTTACATAATATAAATTTTAATATGCACATGCCGTTGAAAGAATTTCTGCATATTTTTACATGACCCACCCTTATGTTTGCATTCAAAGATTGATGACCCACCCCTTCAACCGTGCTCAAAAATAGTAACCCACGCCCCTATTTTTCCCAGCACCACCCTCCCCCCCCCTTTACTTTATGACCAGTCCCTAGTTGGAAGTCTTAAGAGTCATTCAATGTTTCAAAATATATGATAAATATGACAATATACCATAAATAGACTGTCATAATTAAACAGTTTTAATGCTGCTTGTCTTTCCAGATTGATTGTCCACCTGAGTCTTATCCGGACCATAGCCAGCCCACTAAATGGCCGAATTTAAATTAAAACTGCAGTGAAATTATAAATTTAACGAAAATTTTCACAAATTTAGCGAAATATATTGCGAAATGTAGTTTATATTATTAAAATCTCAACCCGATTGCACCATCGGCGAACATATGCAGACATTCCAACCCCAGGTGTTGAAAATTAGGGAGACTCTATAGCTTGTGGACTTGCATGCTGCAAGAATTTTAGCTGGGTGGCAGCGGGCAGGGATTAGACTCCCGAGCTATGAGCCTCTCAAAAATTTTAGAAATACAGTATTAAAAAACATTGAAATATATTTCCCCGCAAATCGAGTGCATTTCCAAAGGTTACTTACTGTAAAGAAAAAAAATGTGTGCTAGAAATACACATACATGTATGACTTTAAAATCTTTTATAGTAACTCTTTCTAGTAACAATACAAAAAATTGAATTTTAAGAAGTTAAACTTTTAGTTGATAGTTCTGTAACATTTTACAAAGTCAATGTTCACGTTGCTTTTATTACATAGTGAACAATGAAGCAGTTTAATCAAGAATTTTCCACATTTCCATGGCTACTGTGGGCTCTGTTATATTCTGTGCATGCTGATTTACACTTCTTTAGGAGTTCTGTGCTGGGTTTGAATTTGTGGCAGGGCATCAAGCTTGCAGGTTTGTTCATCTTGATTGTCATAATGGCACTAAGCGACGTTTCAAGATCTAAATTGGACCGAAAATCAGTCTTATTTTTTCTAATCATAGAAAAAACTCGTTCCTCAGCTGCATTGCTGTGCGGGATTGTTAGGACAGACAATGTAACTTTACTAAGATTTGGCAGTTTATCTCTAAGGTATCCCCAAATCATATCCATACGATGATATGTTAATGTTTCACCACCATCAACATTGGTTTTCTCTGTAACCACAGACTCCTTCCATATGTGTTCAGGAATATCTGTCTCAGCCATTGCCTGGTAAACAAGAAACTCCTCCTCTAAAATATCCATTGCCCGAGGATCATGGATTAAATCACTGTGAATGTGTTCAAGAGCAGAAAGGACTTCTTCAACATTGTCCATGCTGCATTGATTTCTTTTCTTGAAATCAACAAAAACACAGTTTTTCAGCAAGGTGTTGTTGAGTGGCAACCATTTGGTGCAATATGCAAAGGCTGTACTATAGAACTCCCTGATACCATCATAAAATTTGTCAATACTCCGAAGATTGATGTCTCCTTCATCCAAAAGACTTCTCATTTTTCCCTTGGTTACCATGCCAACTGACAAGCTGCTGTCTTCTTTCTGGTTTGCAATAGAAATATCTAGTGATTTCATAGATCCTTCATTTTGTTTATGTGCTATTACCTTCTCTGGTTTTACAAACTTTGATGCTAACTTGCTCATAAATACTTCCATTTGTTCATTCATCAAGTAGAGCAGAGGATCTTCCCTTTGCAAGAACCTGTTGAAGTTGGTGAACATGGCAATTACAGATTGAAAAAAAAGGAGAAACAGTTCACTCATGGAGTCATTGAAAGCAGCATTGAGGCGTTGAAATCTGTTGTCGTGTTCATTTTCTGAGCAAAAATATGATTTCAGAGCAACATATTTCTTCAGCTCCCGATCCAGGCAACGCTCTAGGCAAAGCCATCTGACAGAGATATACTTCACCACAGCCTCATACTCTGTGTCACAAAATTCAAAATATTCCTTTAATGCTTCTTTTCTCTTGGTAGACTTATCGAACCAGTAATACAAGTCCACGCAGTGATCTTCAATGTCAAAAATCTGTGACAGTTCCAAAGGCATTCGCCGCTTTTCCTGCTGCACTGTGAAGCATATGGCAGGGGCAACCTACCACAACAACCTTGGGCTCTTTTGCCAAAACTCGACTTTTAATAGAATCATGTTCGCCAATGTTCACATTGGTGTTATCTACCCCAAGTCCTGTCACAAAACTCCAATGGATTTCATATTTCTCGAAAATAGAATCAACATGTTCAAAAATAGTTGCAGCTGTCCCACTTAAACGTCCTTCAATGAGATTCATGTCAAAAAACTTGGTCATGACTCTGTTAAACTCATCATCATATATACGCACTGTGATCGGATACATTTTTGCAATACCGTTGTCATTACTTCCATCAATCATGATGCTAAATGGAGAGTTCTTCATATCATTTACCAGTTCTATTTTGAAATCTGCTCCTATACAATTAACAATGGCAGATGTTTTGGTTCGCCCACAAGAAAACTTTTCAGCTGCAGTACTGCCATGAAACTCTGATTTGATAATTTGAGTCAGGTGGTCTGACAAGTTGAAAAATGTATTGTGGTGGACTATCATCAGGGCCATCTTTACCTCTGCTTGAATCGATGGATGAACTACTATTGATGGATCATCACGCTTCTTTAAAAACTGTCTTAATGATGAACTTGTTGCTGCTTTTTCATTTGATTTGTGTTTTTGGGATTCTAAAAGTAAATGGGGCAAATTATATGTAGTGTACATGTACTAATTGAGAGCTGAGGAAGAAGGGATTATCTGAAAGTCAAATTTAGTTTTTTGAAAGTCGAAGAACCTATTATAAAATCATCAATAATTCAATAATGTAAGTGTATCTTATAAAGAATAATTATAATCATTGACATTGAAACTTACTTGAGTGAGTAGAAACGTCATTGATGTCTCCTTGAGAGCAGGACAAATTAACATTACAGGCACTGCAGAAGAACTTGTATTCCTTGTCTTTAACATACTGACTGCAAGGCTTAACAAATGGAAACTTATTTACCCACTCTTTGCAATAGCGTGTCTTGTATTTCTTTTTACTTGTTTTTTTGTCTTGTCGATTGTCACTACGTTCTTTGCCGCTTACTTTATGGGAACAACTTGTATTCTCCACATTATCATCAGGATCTTGATCACTAACAAACCGCTCACTATCAATATTTGAATCATATTCAGATGATTCAGTTTCATGAAGTCTTTTTTCCGCCATATATTTTTTACTCTCGAGCCACTGGAGACTGGAGCCCCTGCGCATGTCAATTTGATATAGTTAGTTTAATTTTAAACCAAAACCAGGTTTAAACAAAGTATATTTTAAACTAATTTGTCAGCTGACGCAAAATTGTGCGGGCGCGGAAAAATAATGCACTTCGACTTCGTTGTTTGGTTGTTTTGTTTTGAAAGCTTCTATCGGTTTTAATACAATTTTACAAATAAGCTTATCACCATATTAAAGCATTTGATCTGGCATTTGATAGTAAAATAAGCAAGGACCTGTTTCATGTTGCTAAGAATAGGTTTGTGATTTTTTTCCTGTCTCTGTAATATTCTTGTAAAATCGGGAGAATTTGTTAAAAATTTCAAAATTGGGAGAATTTGTTAAAATAATTGAAAATGCGATTCAGTCTACGAAGATTTCTAGTAGGTATCTAGCCCGAAATCGTTTAAAGATATGATATTTTAAGTAGCGTTTTTATACTTGGGGAAAAATTAAATAAAAATATATAATATATAAATTTGTAAACAATCACTATTTTGAAATCGACAAGTTGTCAATAAATGTCAATTTCAAATTACTGCATTCAAATTAACACGGCAGGGTGGCGGGTGACAGGTGGCGGGTGACGGGTAGCGGGTGACGGGTAGCGGGTGATGGGTAGTGCGTGCGTAGCGGGTGGCGGTAGTTCTCATAATTCACAAGTTGAACACATAGAATAATTTACGCAACCTCGATCCCAGGGCTTTCGTATGAGGGCGAGGCAGAAAGACGAGAAAGCCCTGGTCAGGGCCGGACAATTTTGCATTCTGATTGGCTAACACTATATTGTCTAAAAATAGCTGAACTTGACAGTTGACAATAACAATTTCAACATATATATTTTTATGATTCTTGTGTGTACGAGTGTATTTTGCAAAATAATCTTTCAAAAAAGTTTTCGGTTTTCCCGACTGCATAATTTAGCTACTTTCGGCTCGGCCGGTTCCAAAACTCAAAAGGTATGTTGACGTGAGCTGTGAAGTTTCCTGAAAAAACAAGAAACGTCTACTTTATAGTCGGTAGAATACTGCGTAGTTTTCAGTATTTATAATGTAGTGCAGATGTCGGATGAAATACTACGCGTATTGTATTTTAGTAATATTTTAATTTACAATATTCTATACTGATTGACACAAATAAAAGCAAGACAAAAAATTAAATGAAACTATTAAATTAATTTAGGCCCGGTTTACTTAATAGCTCTACGCCTAGGCCGATGTAGTCTCTACAAGATTTGTCACGCCACCGAGTTTTACAGTTTCAGAATACTTGAAAATTGCGACTATACGATAAAATAAAACAAAGATTGTGAAAGGGATAAAATTTGTATGCAAGCATTGGTGTCTGGCGATCGAAGCGAACTGTATATTCCTGTACATGCAGCGTAAACAGGTAATTAATACCCGAGGTTTTATATTTATGTTTATTTATATCGAACTAAGTCAGACCTAAGAGCATAATTATTTGTCAATATAATTAATTGTCAATATCTGGAGCACTCAAGAAGTATCTCTTGACAGTTTCTCTAGACCTAGTTCTTTTAAATGTTATCTCAAGCACAAATATTCAATC